TTAATTCTTAAGCTAACCTAAGAAAAGCAATTAAAATTGTTCAACTTCTTGTATATTAGGAGTTCCTTTAGCTTAAAAGGGTTTTTTTGGTCATAGAGAAATCATTAATGAAAATTTTCATATAAAATCATGAAATAAAAAAAGCAAATTTTGGTTTAACCAAGTTGTCTGTTGACTGCTACTGAAAGTCTTGTTCTCAGATCCTTTTCCTCTGTGTGCTCTGCTGATATGAAAATCCTTCCATTTAACTTTAAAAATCTGGAATTTAGTTACTCCTGTTGCTGCTTTGCTGTCAAACACCTTGACATTTTAAATCCTTGTTTTTACTATGCTTTTCCCCAGTGACATTTGGTACATTTGTCATTAAGAATATTTAATATTTCTTTTTGGCCTTACTGCTGTTGTGATACATACTTCTACAAATCAGAGAAATATTTTATTATTTAGTTACATACCTTAAAACCAGACTTCATAAAATCTCTCAAAGAATTCTGATAACTCATTCCACTCTGGGCCAAACTTTTCTAGAATTTTCAGCTCTATTTCTGAATAAATAAGATGGGTATTTTTGAAATAGGAGAGCATTTTTCTATAACTATAGACTCAGGAGTGATCCAATGTGAATTTTACTGAACTCACTGGGGAACCATCCATTAACCTGAGCAAGAATAGAATCAGAATTCCAGAGGCTGAATTCTGCTTTAGGAGCCCTGTGCCTGGGGATTCTTCAAATACCTTCCTGATACTTTTATCAATGCATTGGACAATTAGTTGTGCTAATTAATTAGCAGCATCACTTTGGAAGAGCTACCTGGAGGAAGTGGGGTGACAATAACAGAGCAGGCAGGGATGGAACTGGGATGGAATTCCTTCTCTGTGGAAATTCAGTTTGAATTTTCTCAGCCTTTGCAGTTTCAGGATAATTCCCAGAAATCTGAAATTTTCCAGAAATTTCTCTGAATCCAGAGCAAAGTCTCTCTGCTCCTGTGGCAATATCTGCCCTGCAAGAGAGTTTAAAACAATCAAGATTTGCCAGTTATGGAGATTAGTGCCAAGAATTTTGAAGTAAAAAGTAACACAGTTTAGAGAAGTTTATGGTATTTTCTTTGGGGAGGATTTAATTTTAAACAATGGAATAATGTCGTGTCTAAAAGAAGACACTTTATTATGTGATGATAAAGTGTCACGAGACAAAAATATAAACTGTTGGTGTGCTTTTTGCATGAAATTTCTTCTCTCCTAATGAGTTTGGGGCTTTGGGAGAAGAGATTCTTCTGGAAGTCCAAGTATCCTTTCTTCTCCTCATGCTGTGCGTGTGTTTATCCAGGTATTGTGGAGTTTGTACCTGTAACAAAGAATAAGTTCTGCTTGTGGGGTCAACACAAATATATTTATATGAAATAATCTGAGTTAGGAAATAGAAATGAAGATATTCTGGTGGGTTGAGTTAACTTTTCTTATGGAGGAAGTGTTCCAGTGATGCCTCAGGTTTAGTTTTGATATTTTCCAGGTTCTGTGCTGCTTTGGTGTGCAGCTCTGAGCTTCACATTTAGTGTTGCTGAGCAGGGAGACAAAACAATTCCTGCTCCAGCTGGGCACCCAAATGATCCAAACCTCAGCCCAGGAGCACAAACAGCGTGGGCTGGAGAGAGAAAAACAAGCAGGGTGGGACTGATGGGCTGGAGCTGGAATGGGACAATGAACTCCAAGGTGCCAATGGAGCAGAACTGATCATTTTGTGACCAATCATCCATTTTTTGGGACCATTTTGGGTCATTTGGGTGCAGCCCTGGCTGGGCTCTGGTGCTGCCCAAGGTGGATCCATGGAGGAGATCAATTTAATAAATCCTTTAATAAATCAGTGTTTATTCTGTGGCTCTGCCCAGCCTTGCTCCAGGGCAGCTTCTCAAGGTGTCAGCAGCAGTGTGGAAGCACAGGAGCAGCTGGAGGGGCAGGAGGAAGAAGTGGACACTGGGGTGGGAGACAAACGTGACAATTGTTTCTCTCTCCTGTTTGGGTTGTTTCACCAAATGTCTTCACTTTCTGCGGGATATTTGTATTTTGTGTGATAAGGCTGAGGCAGAGACACCGAAAGAGAGAACCTGATCATCCTGGCCCATGGCAGGTGGCCCTGGCCATGGAAGGGGATGGGACTGGATGGGATTTCAGGTCCCTTCCAACCCAAACTTTCTGAGGTTCTGAGATTCAAAAAATTAGTTGTTTGTAAGTATGGAGTAATAACAACTGAATTTTTTACTAACTCATTCATTTGTACTTTTAGCAACATAGGAGAAATAGGAGAACAGACAAATTGTCATTATACAGACCTCAAATTCTTTGTTTATCTTCTCAGCTCTCATCAGTTTCTCAGTTATCTCTATATTAAATTAAAGATCAGTGAAGGAGAAAAGTTGATTACATTTCCATTGTGAGCCAGAAAACAGCAATGCTCGTACACCAGGTATGCAAAGGGGCTGAGGGAAACAAATCAAGTTTTCAAAGTGCTGTGTTACAGATGAATGAAAATAATTTGTAAATTATTCATCAAATTTAATTATGAGATATTTTGAGAAAACCAAAATAAATTGGAACGTGTGATTGTTGGAGAGACCTTTATTCTCCAGCCTTTATGGGTCTAAATCTTGAATATGAACTTCATCAAGATGTGGAGAATGTCCAGACTGCAGGGAGAGATATCAGCTACTCAGGATTTATAGGACTGAAATATTGACTAAACTGATGTCTGATTTTTTTTCCTCTTGCAAATTAAAACTCCTTTTTTTATTTTTCCCGTAACTGGAGACACAAAAAAAAAATAGATAATATCCCTTCTTACATCTTGTGTGCTCAAAGCAGCATCCACTCAAAGGACAGCATTGCCAAACCTTTGAAAAATGTTCCTTACATCTGTATATCACATTTAGAAAGTAAACATGTCAGTACGTTAGCCTTATATATATATATATATCACATACCTAAAGGAAATATAGCAGTGTGTTATATTCATAACCATAATCACGTAATTTAAAGAAATGTGATAGTTTGTTGGCCTTCCAGCTGATTTCTGAATTCACTGCTCAGGAAGACCTGCCTGGTTTTTAGTATTTCTTTAAGCTTTCCTGTTTTTCACGTGGTCCGTGGTGTTGTTAGGCAGTCACAGTTCCTTTTGGAAGTTCTGTTCATCTGGCCAACTTGTTGTCGTACACAAGCCCAGGAAAAGGCCATATGTTCCTGCAAAGGTATCCTTGGAAGGTGGGATTGCTGCTTCTTCTTTTCCTTCTGCCATCTGTTCTGCTTTAACTTCATTTTCTCCACATACCGTGTCAAGCAAATATTCAGATAATAGATGGGAATTGTCATCAGTGTGGAAGCAAGATTATTATTGTTGCCAACAATAGTCAGGTATTCAGATTTTTTTTAGACATTTCCCTTGCTCTTTGCCATCACGACACTCAAAATTTAGAATTAGGAAGCTGTAAATAAATAAACATTATTTTTATTTAAACCACAAATACACAGAGATGTTCCCATGAACACAGAGGAGATCTTCAGCTCTGCAGGCCTCGGGAATAAAAAGAGCAAAGATCCTGGATTTCTCCAAGTGCCTGCTGCTCTTTCCACTTGGAGTTTCTCATTGCTGTCCGTGTGCCACCCCTTGCTGCTCCAGCCCAAGCATTCCTGCAGCCACAGGGATTAGGGAAGGATCTGGGTTAAAACTAATCCAGCAGAAATCCCCAAATCCTGGCCTGATCCAGGAGGGAGCAGAGGGATGAGCTGTACACTCTGACAGAGTGAGGGACTACACCTCAGGAATTCCTTCCTCAGGAATTCCCTTCAGCTCCAGGAAAATGGAGGAGTGAGGAAAAAAAATCCGAGTTTTCAGGTTTTCTGCTAAGCAGACAGCAGAGCACTGATTTAGGCCAGACCTGGCTTGTGTCTGAATTAGTGAAACTTGAAAATCCTGCGAGCCCTGTGGTTACTCCAAGCATAATCATGGTCAAATAATGTGTATTTTCACCCACTTTTTATGCTGCTTATAGGAATAAAATTAAATACAAGGCCGTGCTGAGACCGAGGTCATGATTTGCCATCACTTGTTCAAGTCACAGAATTCTGCTTGGTTTAGGGGGAAAATCTACAAAGCATTTGGGGAAAAAATCTATAACCTACTTTCAAGGGTTCTAAACTACTTTGGGGGTTTTTATATTAATTTTTAGAAATGTCCATGTGTGTGAGTGTATATAAAAAGAGATGTGTATATAAATAAACAAAACTGGGCGTCTTTTTGCTATTTTAGTTCTCTGAAATTTTGTGGTGGATCCTCTCAAGAATATCTCATTTTGAAGTCCTTTTCTCCATTCTCCAGCTGTGTGGGTTCTGTTTTTACAGCCTTAAATTCACTTCAAGTGTAAAGCAGGGGAGGATATGGCCAGACCTGGACTGTGGGGAACTCTCCTGGTCCTGTGTGCACGGGCAGTGAAGTCAGAGATCCTTCCAGAGGGAATTCAGGAATAATTTCCCTTTCTGCAAATCTCCCTTTAGTACAACATGCCTTTTATTGCAGGAAGAAGAGGCTTTATCGCAACAAAACGGGCAAAAAAAACACAAACACTTGAAGAAACAGCACTTCTCTAATTCTTCCCAAAAAGCTCCCAGAACCACCAAATCCTAAAGGATTACACCCAGCAGTCTTCCTGATTCCAGGTTGGTGAATTCTCTCTGCCTCTTTTTCTGACAGCCCAGGGAAGCTGAGGGTTCCCATTCCCTGGAATGTGCCAGGCTGGGCTGGGAGCAGCCTGGGACAGTGGGAGGGGATGGATGGGATTTAAGGTCCCTTCCTATTCCTGTAGTCTTGGAGGTTGTGGGATTTTAGAGAAGTAAGTAGTTGGTTATAGTTTAAAGTAGTTGTAAGTTTGTTTGTTGTTTTTTTTTTTTAAGGTAACATATAACTTTCTAGTCTAAAGTAGTTGTGTTTTTTGTTATAGGGTAATAGATCACCTTCTGGTTTAATGGACAGTTCTTACAAGGTGTATTTTGGTTTTTTACTTAATACTTGCACTTATTTTTAATTTATTGCTATTAGTTATTTTTACTGCATTATGGGTATTTTTACTCCATGGATTTTTTTTTACTTTTGTAATGTCCCAGGCTGGGTTGGACAGGGCTTGGAGCAGCCTGGGATAGAGGGAGGTGTCCCCATGGCAGGGGGGATGGATGGGATTTAAGATCCCCTCCTATTCTTGTAGTCTTGGAGGTTGTGGGATTTTAGAGAAGTAAGTAGTTGGTTATAGTTTAAAGTAGTTGTAAGTTTTTTGGTTAAAAGGTAACATGTAACTTTCTAGTCTAAAGTAGTTGTGATTTTTTTGTTATAAGGTGATATATAACTATCTAGTTTAGTGAGCAGTTGTTACAAGGTGTATTTTGGTTTTTTGCTTACTACTTGCACTTATTTTTAACTTATTGCTATTAGTTATTTTTACTGCATTATGGGTATTTTTACTCCATGGATTTTTTTTTTACTTTTGTAATATCCCAGGCTGGGTTGGACAGGGCTTGGAGCAGCCTGGGATAGAGGGGACTGTCCCCATGGCAGGGGGGATGGATGGGATTTAAGATCCCTTCCTATTCTTGTACTCTTGAAGGTTGTGGGATTTTAGAGAATTTGTTGGTTATAGTTTAAAGTAGTGATAAGGTTTATTTTGTTACAAAGTAATATATAACTATCTAGTTTAATGAAGAGTTGTTACAAGGTGTAGTTTGGTTTTTTACTTATTACTTGTGCTTATTTTCACTGCATTGTGGATATTTTTACTCAATGAGTTTTTGTTACTTTTGTCCACATACTTTAATTATAACTTCTAAACTCTTAGCTTACTAAATTGTAATTACAATTACTGTAATTGTCCATACAACCACTACATTATAAACCCTTCACCATCTTATCAATAGTTTATCACTTAATTAAGGTATATTTTCTATTACAACTATAGAAATTTAAATTTATTATTTTTCTGCTTAATGTCTTTGTATTGTATTTTTACATCAATCTAAGCTTCTTCTAAGGTTGTAGATCAAATTCTTCAGTGTCTGTGGAATTTTCTGTTTTTCTGATTCCCACTCAAACCAGCCTGGGATTCTCTGATTTCTCTGAAATGAAAGACAATGCAATTAATAAATATATTTTTGTGTGACTTTTTCCCTTAACAAAATAACAAATACTGTAAAGAAAATCAGGCAGAACTGGATGCTCCCAAACAAAAGCTGCTGCTGTTATTTTCCAGCATGGAGCTCATGGCTCTAATTTGGAATTAACTGGTTTGGAGGAGAGTTATGCCACAGAGTAAATAAGAAAAATAATCTGAGAAACAGCCAATAATCAAGTTGTTTGATTTAGAAGAAATGCATTTAAAATCCAGCTAAAGCAAAAAGAAAACTGGCTGACTGCCACCCTCTTTTTTACTCATTTGTGACAGCACCCAATTAAAAAGTTCAGTTTGTTGCTCTTACAGGAATAACAGGTTTTGGCATTTTTCATGTTTGCTCATAAAAAGTATCTTTAATTTTAGATCCTCCAAATACTGCAGTTGTAAGAATATTGTTTGTATCTGGAGAGATTAGATGGGGACAGGATTTTTTTAATCTGTTAGCACAGATTTGTTATGTAAAGAGGAAGCTCACAAAGGAAGGAGACAGCAAAAGGCTCTGAAAAAACAGATGTGTCTCCCTCAGAAATAAAGTCACCACTGGATTCCTGCAACTTTTTTGGGAAGTTTATTGTTAAGGATGTGCATGGAATCAAAAAAAAAACCAAATTCTGCTGTCACTGTCTGTGAGTCCATTTCCATACTCTCAGTACAGATAATTTGATAATGAATTTATTGTTGCTATTTAATTTGGATCAATTAAAAATCAGATTATTCATTTAAATGAATTCTTACGTTGCCTTGCTGTTGATTTCTCGAGGCTCCTTTCCCTGCTCTCCTCCAGTCCTCAGCACTGGCCATGTGATCCAGATTTTTTGAAGCCCTGCTATGACTTTAGGTTTTATTCCTGGGCTCTTCCATCCATCTCTTGGAATTGTTTCCAGTAAATTAGAGTTTTACACTGGTTGCTGTGATTAGCATTCTGTGCTCATAGGGAATTATTCATAAAAATCTCTCTGATCAATACCTTCCAATGTGTTTAAACATTAATGTATGATTTTATATGAAGAATGTTACATCCATAGTGGAATTATGATCTAAAATACATTTTTATGCAAATTCTTTAATGGTAGGTTATACCATCTTTCTATCTGTTTTTGTTACTGTGAAGATAAATTATAATTATATGAATAACCTGCATAAAATGATCATGTTTTGAGATCCTTCCATTCAGTAATATCTATATATTCAATAATATCTATGGACTGAATGTTCCTTGCTAATACAGAGTATTAAAAACAGGTAAACCCCATGTAGAGACTAAACATTGGCATTTTCTAGTGCCCCAGTGCTTAAGGAAATGTAAATATGTATTCATAATTTATAGGGTGTCATTTATGAAGTCATATTGGTTGGGGAAGAACTTCACAGAGTTAATAATTTTTATTTTAAATGTGAAAAAAAAAACATTTCTGAAAGGCTCTGCCAGGTTGGCAAATGCAGTTTGAGACAACCAAGAGTCATTAATGCCCATTTTTACAAAATGCTGGGCCCTAATTTTGCACTTAAATTGGGAAGATCAATTGAAAACCCAGTTAAACTGGGGATACTGATGAAATCAGTGAAGCAGAAGTGCAGGTTTTGCTTCTAAACCTGACTGAGATATTTAAATAATCATGGGAAATGCTGTATTTGGTTTCACAGCCAGTGCACTCTGTGACTTCTGTTGTCACAGGGGTTGCACCCCGTTTGTTTGGCTTATCTGAAATTCTTCATTCCCATTTTCTGTCAGGGTTTTCTGTGACAGGAGAAGGTTTTAACAACAACCCAGACCTTCACTGTGCTAACAAATGGCTTTAAAAGAGATTCCAAGGAGGTGATCTGAAAATCAGAACTCGTTCTTCCCATTTGCTGAAGGATTCAAAAATCATCGACGTTGCACTTGAGTTTCATGTAGATTTATTTGGGGAAAAATGTGAAATGCCCAATTCTTGTGAATTTGCTGCCCAGGTGTGCCTGAGCCAGAGTCCTTCAGCTCTGGGATCGGAGGGTTTAAAGTCCCCATGGACCCTTTGGGGTGTGCCTTTGACCTAATGAGCTCCAATCCATCTCACCTCTGCAAGAATCCCAATAACTGACTCCAGTCCTGGGCAGGCTCCAGG